GAATTACACTGGGTGGTGTTATTAGTCCAGCAATCTCACATTGTCACGACCAGAGCTGGTAGTGGAGGCCCAAACAGCAGCTTTCTAAATCGGGTCAGCACACTTGCCGTGTCTTTTCCTGGTTAGTTTATGCCAGCTCACTCTCGATGGGTGTATGAGTGGTAGAATGTCTTTTTGAGACTAAAGAGAGGAATGAAATATGCAGTAGCTTTGTATTGGGGCAAGCCTCACGATCGCCATCTTGGACAAAAATAAACAAACCATTCAAACCCAGAACCTTCTCGATGTGAGGCAACACCTCTAACTATATGAGAGTAATTGTAATTTAAATACCTTGTCCTGTAAGAACCAGAAACTGACCTTCATTATTGCTGTATGCTATTATCAATCAATCAATGAATCAATCAATTTATTTGAGCAGGTCATACAAAACAAAAAACAATCCAATAGGAAAACATTTCAAGAAAAAGTAGACACAGCTCAAAGGGAGTAAGCCGAAGTAAAATACTTGTGTGAGCTTACCCCAATTACATTTTCATATCGTTTTTCAATTAGGTGTGTGTTGTGTGTAGTGTGCGGTGTGTTGTGTGTGTGTGCGTGTAGTGTGGTGTGCGCAGTGTGTTGTGTGTGTGTGTCGGAGTGGGTACACATGCATGTGTGTATATGTTTGTTTCTGGTAGTGCATGAGTGCTGTGTGTGCTGTGTGTATTTGTATGTGTACTTGTGTTTATGCCTGGGTATAAGTGTATGTTTGTGTTTGTGTGGATGCACCCAGATTGAAATGTATTTGTGCATGTGTGCCTGAGTGGGTAAATGCATCTGTGTGTGTGTGTGCACATTTGTTAGCCATGAGCATATCCAGCATATTAAAACTTACTCTCTTAGACTAAGTGAGATCAATGTGTCATCTCTGCAGAGTTTATATAAGCTTCATGTTGAACTCATTAATAGACTCTCCTTTGCGTAGCATGTCTGCCCCTGTCATCTGCCATCTGCTCTGCTTCCTGTCTCTGCGCTCTTCTCAAACTCCTCAATCCTCCCAGAAAAACAAAGTTTCACTGAGGGCAGAGGTTTTCATGGGTCCTACATCGTCATCATTCATCTACCACCACAAGTCTTCATAAACTGTTCTACACGCAAACTCATGCTTTTCACTTTCCGGTTTTGTTCTGGTTAACTGTAGTTGTCCAGGGGCTTGCAAGTTCTTAGCTTTGAAATTAGGTCCAGTATCATGTGCTTATTGATTCACGTGTTGGCTTGAAGGTCACTTTAATTGTGTTTCATGTTTTAATGAATGCATATTTTTTATGACTGAGCATCAAAGTAAGTATTTTTCAAACCACCACCAGTAAGATTTGCTGGAGGAGAATAGTTGATGTAGTTGGTGTATCAAGCAAGCCCCGGTGATCCAAGATGGCGGCCTATTCACATCAATGACTTGTGCTCAGTAGCGCATGGGACAACCATGGGGTCCGAATGATCAGCGGAACTCGCCCATATTTGGGATTTGTCTGGGCCTCCCGGTTCTGCCCACGTGCACAGAGGGGCTCGGCCACGTTCTGACCAATCAGAGCTGCTGATCAGAGCGGGAGTTAGAGAAAACCAAAGGATTTAAAATGTTGGACCTTTCTGAAAGCTGTTGGTTCTCTGTCAGTTGAGTAAGTAAGCTTTATTTATATACCACCTTTTCACTGCACATCGGAGTCCCAAAGCAGTTTACAATTGTTTTTTTTTGGGATTGGGGGTGTCAGTACAGGGGGCACATGCCAGACCTATTGTACATATTTTTAGTGGTAGGGGAAACCAGAGCACCCGGAGGAAACCTACGCAGACACGGGGAGAACATGCAAACTCCACTCAGAAAGGCCCTGGTCCAACCGGGATTCGAACCCAGGACCTTCTTGCTGAGAGGCGAGAGTGCTACCCACTCAGCCACTGTGCCGCCCAGATATTATTATAGATCCACGGTATCTAGGATTTAAACTTCCTGATTGGATCCAACGAGGACGTATCTAAAAAAAAATCTTTTATTTTTCCTTCTGAAAATACATGATTTCCCTTTACCTCCTACATTGCTTTTTATCTTCAGCCTATTCAATCTTCCATCGGAAAACCGCATTGGTAAACCACGTTCCTGCAGCTCAATTGTATTCAATGTTTGTGTTGACACGGCAGAGGTGATCCCGGCGGGTGAAGATGGAGCCTGTGTGATGGAAGATGTTTTTTGTGTTGGTTGTTGTGAGAGGGAGGAGAACAGTGCTCTTAAGGCCACCTCCCCAGTTAGAATCTGTCTAAGATGTGTGTTTGTAATCAGAGTGTGGATGAGTCGACAAGCTGCAGATGTCTTATTCGTCAGAGAAAACTTGAGTCAGTGACTGCGTTTGCAAACCTTTTGTGAAAATGTAATTCAAATAATAAAGACACTTGAAAATCTGTGCACGCCATTCAAGTTGTGTCCATTTGGAGGTGCAGGTGTGCTGGTGTGGACTCTGAGGAGCACAGGGACTGGACCTCTGCTGGGACTCTGAGGAGCACAGGGACTGGACCTCCTGCTGGGACTCTGAGGAGCACAGGGACTGGACCTCTGCTGGGACTCTGAGGAGCACAGGGACTGGCCTCCTGCTGGGACTCTGAGGAGCACAGGGACTGGACTCCTGCTGGGACTCTGAGGAGCACAGGGACTGGACTCCTGCTGGGACTCTGAGGAGCACAGGGACTGGACTCCTGTTAGTGCCCAGAGTCAGAACTAAACATGGGGAGGCTGCTTTTCAGATTCATGCTGCTAAAATCTGGAACAGTCTTCCTGAAGATGTGAGACAGGCCTCCTCTCTGACAATGTTTAAAACCAGGTTAAAGACAGTTCTGTTTAGCTGTGCTACAACTGAGGGATTTTATATTTGTATCTTTTTTTTCAATGTTCTGTGATTATTTATGATTTTAATGCTTTCTTGTTTTGTTCAGCACTTTGAGTTGCCTTGTGTATGAACTGTGCTATATAAATAAACTTGCCTTGCCTTGCCTTACACCAATTCTAATGTGGCTGAGCTCACATGTAACCGTGCACAACCACGAGGGACGGTGATGCATTTAAGAACACAAGGAAGAACCGAGCTTACATAAGAAATTAACACAATTTTATTCTTACTGAAGTGGAACCAAAATGATACTTTACGTTATTTTGTGAAAAAAAAATCCCAACAGCAATTTTGGGTTAAGACTTCATACTTTGCAGTTTTTATATTTGTCTTTTAAAACAACTCTGTCAGATTTAGTGGAGAACATTGTGAACAGCAGTATTCAGAGTTTCACTTGGATTTAACTTTGGACTTTGGAACATTTCACTTGAATTGTTTTAAACTACTTTTTGTATGAACAGTCTGTTTGGAGGAAGTAGGTTCACATCTGCTCCTGTGTCAAATGTTTGTTTTAGGATTGTCACTTTCACTTCATGGATGTTGTATTCATAGTTTAAATGGACCGTTTAATTCAACGGATCATTTCGAGCCATAATAAAATAGCCTTTTCCATTATTATTAATATTAAAACTAAGCAATCTCTTGCTTTCTCTAACTCTAAAAACATGTCATTTCTACTTTTAAAGGTACTCTGTGTATTTTTTACAGTTGCTCCAAATGAAAAAAACATGTTAACTAATAAAAAATGTGACCTTTTTAGATTCAGATTCAGTTTATTTGCCATTTGCAGTAAAAAAAACCCACATTGGGCGGCACGGTGGCTGAGTGGATAGCACTCTCGCCTCTCAGCAAGAAGGTCCTGGGTTCGAATCCCGGCCGGACCAGGGCCTTTCTGAGTGGAGTTTGCATGTTCTCCCTGTGTCTGCGTAGGTTTCCTCCGGGTACTCCGGTTTCCCCCGGGTACTCCGGTTTCCCCTACCACTAAAAATATGTACAATAGTTCTGGCATGCGCCTCCTGTTCGGCGACCCCGCTCCCATCTCTGTGTGGAGTGAGAGACAAATGCCCAAAAATAACAATTGTAAACCGCTCTGTGACTCTGGTCTGTGAAGGGCGGTATATAAATAAAGATTACATTGGAATACATTAGCAAAAGTCTCCAGTGTGCACAGACCAATACAGACATAAAACAACATTAAAAGACAGAAATAAAACAAATAAAACAGTAAACAAATGTCACTGTGAAATGGATCGACTAAAACAGTTTCAAAACAAGTGCAAATCATTAAAGTGCTCTGTTCACACTGATAACAGCCTGTGGCTAAAAACTGTTAGCGTATTCAAAGTGTGATATATTTAAGATTATTTACCTCCACCATGTTTTTATATTGTTGTCGTAGGCTTAGAATTTGACTTATAAATGTCCATGAGGCTGCGGACTCTGTGTAAATCCACCATCTTGGAATACAGTGGGTGATAAGGGACAAAAAGGAGTTTGAGCGGGAGTTGGGGACCACTGTCAAAAATGACATATTGTCCTGAGAAGCCACCGTAGTACCGTCAATTAGAATATATGATCTCAATGCTAGATGGGAGTAAAAACTACACAGTGTACCTTATATTCAGTAAAATGCAGTACTTTATATACTAGTAACATTACTCTCACACTTTGATGCGATGTTCTCTGGTTGTGGTTAATTTCATGCAAAGGAATTGAAGCCACTACAACATCACAAAAGAGGATCTGCATGTCCTATATACGTTTAATTAACTTTCAGATTAATCCCCACTATGTATGACTTTTCAATTACTGTAATAAAAAAATGCTTTACAGTCTCTTTCTAATCAAATCTAAATGGGTCAGCCAGCGTCGGAATGGATTATTCTATGAAGTAAAAATCATGTTCTATACTTTCTAAGTCCACAAATCCTTCATTATACAAAGCTCTGCAGGCACGTAAGCAAACACTCGGTCTGTGAGTTTAGACATTGCCGTGAAGACAGAAGAATGGTGCAAATCAGTTTTGTAGCTTCTGTCCATGTAGAGCCAAATATAAGACCTAGAAATACACATTTAAGTCAAAAATCATAGACTGCCTGAGTACCACAGGGCCCTGAGTACCACGGCGCCCTGAGTACCACGGGGCCCTGAGTACCACGGGGCCCTGAGTACCGCAGCGCCCTGAGTACCCGCGGCGCCCTGAGTACCACGGGGCCCTGAGTACCACGGCGCCCTGAGTACCGCGCCGCCCTGAGTTCCGCGGCGCCCTGAGTACCACGGGGCCCTGAGTACCACGGCGCCCTGAGTACCGCGCCGCCCTGAGTTCCGCGGCGCCCTGAGTACCACGGCGCCCTGAGTACCGCGGCGCCCTGAGTACCGCGGCGCCCTGAGTACCACGGGGCCCTGAGTACCACGGCGCCCTGAGTACCACGGGGCCCTGAGTTCCGCGGCGCCCTGAGTACCGCGACGCCCTGAGTACCACGGCGCCCTGAGTACCACGGGGCCCTGAGTACCGCGACGCCCTGAGTACCACGGGGCCCTGAGTACCGTGGCGCCCTGAGTACCACAGTACCCTGAGTACCGCGGCGCCCTGAGAACCACAGTACCCTGAGTACCGCGGCGCCCTGAGTACCGCGGCGCCCTGAGTACCACGGCGCCCTGAGTACCACGGGGCCCTGAGTACCACGGCGCCCTGAGTACCACGGGGCCCTGAGTTCCGCGGCGCCCTGAGTTCCGCGGCGCCCTGAGTACCGCGACGCCCTGAGTACCACGGCGCCCTGAGTACCACGGGGCCCTGAGTACCGCGACGCCCTGAGTACCACGGGGCCCTGAGTACCGCGGCGCCCTGAGTACCACAGTACCCTGAGTACCGCGGCGCCCTGAGTACCACGGGGCCCTGAGTACCACGGGGCCCTGAGTACCGCGGCGCCCTGAGTACCACAGTACCCTGAGTACCACGGGGCCCTGAGTTCCGCGGCGCCCTGAGTACCGCGACGCCCTGAGTACCACGGCGCCCTGAGTACCACGGGGCCCTGAGTACCGCGACGCCCTGAGTACCACGGGGCCCTGAGTACCGCGGCGCCCTGAGAACCACAGTACCCTGAGTACCGCGGCGCCCTGAGTACCACGACGTCCTGAGTACCACGGGGCCCTGAGTACCACGGGGCCCTGAGTACCGCGGCGCCCTGAGTACCGCGGCGCCCTGAGTACCACGGGGCCCTGAGTACCGCGGCGCCCTGAGTACCGCGGCGCCCTGAGTACCACAGTACCCTGAGTACCGCGGCGCCCTGAGTACCACGACGCCCTGAGTACCGCGCCGCCCTGAGTTCCGCGGCGCCCTGAGTACCGCGCCGCCCTGAGTTTTGCGGCGCCCTGAGTTTTGCGGCGCCCTGAGTTCCGCGGCGCCCTGAGTACCACGGCGCCCTGAGTACCACGGCGCCCTGAGTACCACGGCGCCCTGAGTACCGCGCCGCCCTGAGTTCCGCGGCGCCCTGAGTACCACGGGGCCCTGAGTACCGCGGCGCCCTGAGTACCGCGGCGCCCTGAGTACCACGGGGCCCTGAGTACCGCGGCGCCCTGAGTACCACAGTACCCTGAGTACCGCGGCGCCCTGAGTACCACAACGCCCTGAGTTCCGCGGCGCCCTGAGTACCGCGGCGCCCTGAGTACCGCGGCGCCCTGAGTTCCGCGGCGCCCTGAGTACCACGGCGCCCTGAGTACCACGGCGCCCTGAGTACCGCGCCGCCCTGAGTTCCGCGGCGCCCTGAGTACCACGGGGCCCTGAGTACCGCGGCGCCCTGAGTACCGCGGCGCCCTGAGTACCACGGGGCCCTGAGTACCACGGCGCCCTGAGTACCACGACGCCCTGAGTACCGCGCCGCCCTGAGTTCCGCGGCGCCCTGAGTACCGCGGCGCCCTGAGTTCCGCGGCGCCCTGAGTTCCGCGGCGCCCTGAGTACCACGGCGCCCTGAGTACCACGGCGCCCTGAGTACCGCGCCGCCCTGAGTTCCGCGGCGCCCTGAGTACCACGGGGCCCTGAGTACCGCGGCGCCCTGAGTACCGCGGCGCCCTGAGTACCATGGGGCCCTGAGTACCGCGGCGCCCTGAGTACCACAGTACCCTGAGTACCGTGGCGCCCTGAGTACCACGACGCCCTGAGTTCCGCGGCGCCCTGAGTACCGCGGCGCCCTGAGTACCGCGCCGCCCTGAGTTCCGCGGCGCCCTGAGTACCACGGCGCCCTGAGTACCACGGCGCCCTGAGTACCGCGCCGCCCTGAGTTCCGCGGCGCCCTGAGTACCACGGGGCCCTGAGTACCGCGGCGCCCTGAGTACCGCGGCGCTCTGAGTACCGCGGCGCCCTGAGTACCACGGGGCCCTGAGTACCGCGGCGCCCTGAGTACCACAGTACCCTGAGTACCGTGGCGCCCTGAGTACCACGACGCCCTGAGTACCACGGGGCCCTGAGTACCGCGCCGCCCTGAGTTCCGCGGCGCCCTGAGTACCACGGGGCCCTGAGTACCACGGCGCCCTGAGTACCGCGGCGCCCTGAGTACCACGGGGCCCTGAGTACCGCGGCGCCCTGAGTACCACAGTACCCTGAGTACCGTGGCGCCCTGAGTACCACGACGCCCTGAGTTCCGCGGCGCCCTGAGTACCGCGGCGCCCTGAGTTCCGCGGCGCCCTGAGTTCCGCGGCGCCCTGAGTACCACGGCGCCCTGAGTACCACGGGGCCCTGAGTACCACGGCGCCCTGAGTACCACGGGGCCCTGAGTACCACGGCGCCCTGAGTACCGCGGCGCCCTGAGTACCACGGGGCCCTGAGTACCACGGCGCCCTGAGTACCACGACGCCCTGAGTACCGCGCCGCCCTGAGTTCCGCGGCGCCCTGAGTACCGCGGCGCCCTGAGTTCCGCGGCGCCCTGAGTTCCGCGGCGCCCTGAGTACCACGGCGCCCTGAGTACCACGGCGCCCTGAGTACCGCGCCGCCCTGAGTTCCGCGGCGCCCTGAGTACCACGGGGCCCTGAGTACCGCGGCGCCCTGAGTACCGCGGCGCCCTGAGTACCACGGGGCCCTGAGTACCGCGGCGCCCTGAGTACCACAGTACCCTGAGTACCGTGGCGCCCTGAGTACCACGACGCCCTGAGTTCCGCGGCGCCCTGAGTACCGCGGCGCCCTGAGTACCGCGCCGCCCTGAGTTCCGCGGCGCCCTGAGTACCACGGCGCCCTGAGTACCACGGCGCCCTGAGTACCGCGCCGCCCTGAGTTCCGCGGCGCCCTGAGTACCACGGGGCCCTGAGTACCGCGGCGCCCTGAGTACCGCGGCGCTCTGAGTACCGCGGCGCCCTGAGTACCACGGGGCCCTGAGTACCGCGGCGCCCTGAGTACCACAGTACCCTGAGTACCGTGGCGCCCTGAGTACCACGACGCCCTGAGTACCACGGGGCCCTGAGTACCGCGCCGCCCTGAGTTCCGCGGCGCCCTGAGTACCACGGGGCCCTGAGTACCACGGCGCCCTGAGTACCGCGGCGCCCTGAGTACCACAGTACCCTGAGTACCGTGGCGCCCTGAGTACCACAGTACCCTGAGTACCGTGGCGCCCTGAGTACCACGACGCCCTGAGTTCCGCGGCGCCCTGAGTACCGCGCCGCCCTGAGTACCGCGGCGCCCTGAGTTCCGCGGCGCCCTGAGTTCCGCGGCGCCCTGAGTACCACGGCGCCCTGAGTACCACGGGGCCCTGAGTACCGCGGCGCCCTGAGTACCACGGCGCCCTGAGTACCACGGGGCCCTGAGTACCACGGCGCCCTGAGTACCGCGGCGCCCTGAGTACCACGGGGCCCTGAGTACCACGGCGCCCTAAGTACCTCGCCGCCCTAAGTTCCGCGCCGCCCTAAGTCCCGCGCCGCCCTGAGTACCGCGCCGCCCTGAGTTCCGCGGCGCCCTGAGTACCGCGCCGCCCTGAGTTCCGCGGCGCCCTGAGTACCGCGCCGCCCTGAGTACCGCGCCGCCCTGAGTTCCGCGGCGCCCTGAGTACCGCGCCGCCCTGAGTACCGCGCCGCCCTGAGTTCCGCGGCGCCCTGAGTACCTCGCCGCCCTGAGTACCGCGCCGCCCTGAGTACCGCGCCGCCCTGAGTACCGCGCCGCCCTGAGTTCCGCGCCGCCCTGAGTTCCGCGGCGCCCTGAGTACCGCGGCGCCCTGAGTACCGCGCCGCCCAGCCACAGTCCTCCCAAGGACATATTTTTCTTTGAGTTGTTCCTTGCCAATGTGTGGGCTCATTTTAGGCCTACATTAAAAAACAAATATTTAGGCCTAAAATAGAGCGGAATAAGAGGTGCGGCCGATGACTCACCACCATCATGTTGTTGATTGCATTGTTTTGTTTTGTTCAGATCAATTCTAATGTATTCTATTCTAAAATCACTAGAATAAAAAGCAATAGATATGGATTGAATGTCATATTCAGCAAATTTGCTCAAATAACACTTTGGATGATTGCTCAAGAGTCAGACTTTATTTTGTTGCTAAAAAACACCAACACACACTTCGGTCAATCTGCTCGTACGCCACACTTTCCACACTCATGCCATGAACTCCAAAGCACACACACATACACACACACACACACACACACACACACACACACACACACACGCATGCACACACAAACACACACACACGCACACGCACACACACTGATTGCAAAGAAAGCTAACCATGCTCGGAAGAGAAACGGAAACTTGAGGTAGTTGCTGAAGTTAGTTTTAGCGCCACCAGCTGGACAGGAGTTATACAACACTGCATTTAGGCTGTTCTGATTGAAAAAATAAACCCCCCTGACCGGAGGCTGTCCTCACACCCCTGTGTCAACGATCCGAGCCTGCTGGCCTAGTTCGTTTGTGAAAACCCTTGTGACCGTGCCCTTAAATGAGTTGATCCAATTTTTAGTGGCAATTCTTTGTTAAACAATAAACAACTGAATGAATTTCCTTTTATGATTGTTGGAAAATAAATGTTGTAAGGGTGCTCTGAGCACCAGCAGAGGAGGCCATAAAAGCCTCACAAAGCCCCGCTGTCCCTCTCAGCTTTAACCGGTGTACCAGAGCACTTCCTCTTGACTGATGACCTCTTCACAGCGCTCACGCCTGATCAGTTTAGATACTGTGGTGTGAAATGGTTGTTTACTTCTAATGTGTTTAAATTGGCTTCTTTTGTTTGTAAAGCCTGGTTGAGGCGGCAGACTTGTTTGTTTAAATAAGTTTATGTATTGTATAGTGTGCCTATTGTCTGGCATCTGGTGCTTTTGTTGGTGTTATTGGTCTTATCCATTAGGGCTGGGCATACACAATAATAAAAACTATTCATTCATTCATTCATACTGTGGATACTTTACGGGCTGTGGCAGACATAAATTCAGTTCTTTGATCATTCATGCACTTCGTTCTGCTAGTGGTTGTGGCAATAAGGCAGATCCATGCTGCACCACTGCCTGCAGCGAGTCAGCAGAGAAGCCGCTGCTGTTGTCATGCGATGACCATCCATGATCCAGGACCGGGTGAACCAAACAACAGCCCCAGGGAGTCCCTCATGGCTCTGATCCCCTCCACCTTCAACATGAGCTCTCGATTTTACCCCAGAGAGATTCAGGTTCTCCCCGTTTTTAGTTTCTGACAATAATAAAAGGCATTTTTTACTCTCCAAAAGTATAGAATCAAATAATAAAACAAAAACTCAACAGATTGGAAGACCGGGAGACATGAATGTGCGCTCACTCTTAGTCCTGCCTCTGCTGCACCTGTACCTGTGCTCATCAACCTCTGCTGCACCTGTACCTGAGCTCATCAACCTCAGCTGCACCTGTACCTATGCTCATCAGCCTCTGCTGCACCTGTACCTGAGCTCATCAGCCTCTGCTGCACCTGTACCTGAGCTCATCAGCCTCTGCTGCACCTGTGCTCATCAGCCTCTGCTGCACCTGTACCTGAGCTCATCAGCCTCTGCTGCACCTGTGCTCATCAGCCTCTGCTGCACCTGTACCTGAGATCATCAACCTCTACTGCACCTGTACCTGTGCTCATCAGCCTCTGCTGCACCTGTACCTGAGCTCATCAACCTCAGCTGCACCTGTACCTGTGCTCATCAGCCTCTGCTGCACCTGTACCTGTGCTCATCAGCCTCTGCTGCACCTGTACCTGAGCTCATCAACCTCTACTGCACCTGTACCTATGCTCATCAGCCTCTGCTGCACCTGTACCTGTGCTCATCAGCCTCTGCTGCACCTGTACCTGAGCTCATCAACCTCTACTGCACCTGTACCTATGCTCATCAGCCTCTGCTGCACCTGTACCTGTGCTCATCAGCCTCTGCTGCACCTGTACCTGTGCTCATCAGCCTCTGCTGCACCTGTACCTGAGCTCATCAGCCTCTGCTGCACCTGTACCTGTGCTCATCAACATCACTTCACAGCTGGATATAACAGAGCCTCTCAGTCCCTGCATCAAGCTGCTGTTCATGTAGAAGCCTGCCTCCTCCATCACCGCTGTTTCACAGGAGAATAATCATGTTATTGGCCCTGGAGGTTCACTCAGAATCTCTGTTAGATTCCCTCCTGCACAGTTCTGCAATATTTCTGCCATGGTCTAATCTAATCCAAACCCAAACTAGGTTAACATGCAATTAACATATTAACACCCAACCCGAGCACCCAATCCAGATCTAATTATCTAACTGACGTTGGTGTGCCTTGAAGGGTTGTTTGGCGTGCTTTTTGGTGAAAATGTGCAAATATAATAATTTGAGAAGATTAGAAAGACTTTTTTGTGCTTGCTTGATTTTCTGAATAACACACTTTGATGAATGACTTTGCTTTGATAATAAAAGCTGCAGAGTTTCATGTTTGCATCAGTTTCAGCTGGTGGTGTGCCATTGTCTTCAAGGACATAGATGTGCACGGCTTAAAAAGGTTGTGGAACACGGCTCTAATCATGCAAACGTGCCAACAAATAGAATTCTAAAACATGGGAAATATGCAACATTTGCCTCGAATATTTCCAGTTTAAATATTCATTCAACAATTTCCCCACTTTTATTTTTAAGCACTTTGAAAAAAGTACACTGCAAATTCAGTGCCTGAAATTCAGAAATAAACATTTGAATCATTCGTTTTTGGGTAAATTTCAAGTCTGATGGAGATGATTTTGCATAACAACCCACTTCACCCTTATTATAATGTTACCCCCAAATCCCCCCACCCCCCTCCATCACAGCGCTCCTCCACTGCCTTCCCATTGGTCCGCTCGTCAACAGCCCAAACCCTGAGGCTGGAGGGAGGGGTCCACGCACTGACTGTCACACACGCGTTTGATTCGCGATAGAATCAGAGAGCTGCAGCCGCTGCTCCTCCTCTGCTACAGAAACCAACACAAAAACACCACATTTACCCAAGTCTGCGCGCTGCCAGCTGACTGAGATCCAGGCCGTTTCTTTGGATCAAGACACGCGCCCTTTTACGCACCGGTTTTGCGTTTTTATATTCTCAACATCCGTGGAAAAGTGAACAAGGATGACATGTAATTAAGATAAACGGTGCGAGCTTGGATTTGTTTACGTGGAAAGAGAAAAAGGAAGACCATCGGAGGTCCCAGAACAACTCGCAGAAGGGAAATGTGATGGTTGTGTTTGTGACAGCGTGACGGCTCCACACGCGTCCCACAGCGAGCCGCTCCGAGCCGCTCCAGACACGTCCCTTTGTCCCCCACGTGTTCGCAGGTAAGCGCTTCTAACCGTGCACTTTCCATTGGATCTGAGTTAATTGGTTTAGTTTGTGATGGAGACTGTACTCTCTTGCCTCCGTGTGTCACAAGTTCAGGTTTGAGATGTGACATCACATGTTCAACACACGACACGTGCTGTTTGTAAACTCTTCTCTTCTTCTGATGTAAGATAGAGCTTTGCATGTTCTTATAATCCGTTATTTTCTGCATTCCTCCATCACCCATCATCGCCCACTTCTCTGCAGCTCTTTATGATAATTGGATTGGAGTTTTCACTTCTCCACTTTGGAATAGGGAGTAATACAGGAACTAATATCAAGTTATAACAATATTTCCACATCGAAAACAGAACGTAAATAACGAACGACGTACGACCAAACCCATCATTTCAGCTCATGATAAAATAAATGTCTTTTTGAATGCATTATAATAAATGGGCTATACCAGTTCTAAGCAGTTCTTCCATGACTCCTGTTTCATGAATAGACCGAATGGATCATGAGATGACACATATATTATCATAGGAACAAGATGGGCTTGTAGTTGTGTGTTTTTGATTTAACAATCAGTCCCAGACATAACCTTTAGATGACATAAGATAATGTTTCCATCTCAGAGTGTCCTATCTGAAAGCAGAATGAGCGTCACATGAGTCTCTCATTTATGTTGCCAGTTTCTTTTGTGAATTACAGCCAGAAATAACAAACCAAAATCAGAAGCACCCTTTTCCTTGCATTCCATTTAGAGAATGTGAAAACATTCAGTCGAGGCATCTCTGTCGCCCCAGGCTCTCTGTATGTTTGCATGTTCACCCTTGTGGTTTCCTCCAGGTGCTCCGGTTCCCTCTGGTGGGAAGTCAGGCTCTAGTGTATCAGCACACAGTGAAGTCAGTGTTGCTCTTAGAGAGACTTGAGGCTGAGGTAGTTTTATGATCTTCATACGTTTAAAAGCTGTGAAGTTTAACAAAGGGTTATTTTGTCACCTCACAAATGTGAAAAGTCAATGGAGAAAGCTGCTGCAGGAGCGTTGTTTCCCAAACACTGAACTCAAGTTTATGAATAAAACATGTGATTTTAAAGTCCTTTTTAATAGTTACATAAGGAATAATATCATCACATTTTTCACAAGATTTTTTTGTCGTCACAAATCATACTTTTAAAACTCACAACATATTTTAGTTATACAAACTTTAGACCTTTCCTGGATATACATACAAAATACATGTTTCTGGGACAACGGATTAGAAAAGTTGAGGAAGCTGTGGAAATGGCCCAATTTATTTTAAAACTCAGATTTAAAATACATTTTTTGCCATCATTCAATACAAAAAGGTTTCATGAAATAACCTTGAACATGTCCTAATTTCTCACTGTCACATTCGCATTAGCCACTTTAATCTTCAGCCTTAAATCCAGATAATCGTCGTCATCCAAACGTTGAACAAAGTCATTGAACCTTTTGTTGATGCTTTAAATAGACCTCCTGATGTATTGTATCCAGTGTCATAATTGGATGTAGAGTAATTGCTGTGCATAAGAACCATATAATATACAGTATAAAGGTTTCACAGTGTTCCTGCTGCAGAGGTGTGTTCCTCGTGGAAATGAGCTTCCAAAGGCTTTGTACTCGTCACACTGTTCTGTCAGTCAGACTCTTAGGCTGGTGCTGTTGTGACCTGATTCCAGGGACTGTCTGCATTTTCAAATATTTAGTTTGATGTTGTTGTTTTCTGGTTAGATTTTTATATTAATGTTTTAAAAGTAATGTTTTTCAGTTTTTTGTTACTCATCCAAATATTGAATAACGTCATTATCTTTCTGTTGTCTTCTGTGCAAAATCATTCTAAAGCTAGTCGGTAAAGTCAGTAGGTCAGATCAAAGAACACTCGCTTCTGTCTATGTTTGAGCTTTTTAGAGCAAAAGCACCTTCAACAACAGCAGCTCATTCGACACAAGCGAAACTTGTGGTTTCAATTTTTGGAACAGCGTCAGCGAATGCATAAAAGACCTGCTTCAAAGGTCCGGATCAGAGTTCCAAACGAATCCTGGTCCGTTTAAAGTGGACCAAATGTGCAGGTCTGAATACACAGACACTTCCACAGTGTGTGAGCTGTACTTTTGTCTTGCGCTAATACTTTGTAGCGCCACCTTTTGCTGCAATTACAGCTGCAAGTCGCTTGGGGTCTGTCTCTATCAGTTTTGCACATCGAGAGACTGGAATTCTTGCCCATTCTTCCTTGTAAAACAGCTGGAGCTCAGTGAGGTTGGATGGAGAGCGTTTGTGAACAGCAGTCTTCAGCTCTTTCCACAGATTCTCGATTGGATTCAGGTCTGGACTTTGACTTGGCCATTCTAACACCTGGATACGTCTATTTGTGAACCATTCCATTGTAGATTTGGCTTTATGTTTTGGATCATTGTCCTGTTGGAAGATAAATCTCCGTCCCAGTCTCAGGTCTTTTGCAGACTCCAACAGGTTTTCTACCAGAATGGTCCTGTATTTGGCTCCATCCATCTTCCCATCAATTTTAGCCATCTTCCCTGTCCCTGCTGAAGAAAAGCAGGCCCAAAGCATGATGCTGCCACCACCATGTTTGACAGTGGGGATGGTGTGTTCAGGGTGATGAGCCAAACATATCGTTTTGCATTGTGGCCAAAAAGTTCGATTTTGGTTTCATCTGACCAGAGCACCTTCTTCCACATGTTTGGTGTGTCTCCCAGGTGGCTTGTGGCAAACTTTAAACAAGACTTTTTATGGATATCTTTGAGAAATGGCTTTCTTCTTGCCACTCTTCCATAAAGGCCAGATTTGTGCAGTGCACGACTGTTGTCCTATGGACAGACTCTCCCACCTCAGCTGTAGTTATCTGCAGTTCATCCAGAGTGATCATGGGCCTCTTGGCTGCATCTCTGATCAGTCTTCTCCTTGTTTGAGATGAAAGTTTGGAGGGACGGCCGGGTCTTGGTAGATTTGCAGTGGTCTGATACTCCTTCCATTTCAATATAATTGCTTGCACAGTGCTCCTTGAGATGTTTAAAGCTTGGGAAATCTTTTTGTATCCAAATCCGGCTTTAAACTTCTCCACAACAGTATCTCGGACCTGCCTGGTGTGTTCCTTTGTCTTCATGGTTCTCTCTGTGCTTTAAACAGAACCCTGAGACTATCAAAGAGCAGGTGCATTTATACGGAGACTTGATTACACACAGGTGCATTCTATTTATCATCATCAGTCATTTAGGACAACATTGGATCATTCAAAGATCCTCACTGAACTTCTGGACTGAGTTTGCTGCACTGAAAGTAAAGGGGCCCTATAATATTGCACGCCCCACTTTTCAGTTTTTTATTTGTTAAAAAAGTTTAAATTATCCAATAAATTTTGTTCCACTTCACGATTGTGTCCCACTTATTGTTGATTCATGACAAAACATTTAAATTTTATATCTTTATGTTTGAAGCCTGAAATCTGGCGAAATGTTGAAAGGTTCAAGGGGGCCGAATACTTTCGCAAGGCACTGTACTTACACACACATACTTACACACATACTTACACACACATACTTACACACACACACACACATACTTACACAAACACACACACACACACACAAACACACACACACACGCACACATACTTACA